GGTAGAGGGGGCAAATGTCTGGCTCACTGCTGCCAACTAGTGGTCAGAGGCTGAACTACAACATAAAAATGAACGGCTGGCAGGAAAGTTGACATTTTAAACCTTAAAAAAAAATCAATACAGGGCTTTAGAATATCGATACAGTATCAGGAAATGAAATATCGCGATATTTCAGTATATCGATATTTTCTTACACCCCTATAAAGRACAGAGTATCCATGTAACATAACTTGGCTAAAGAACGTTGTTAACTAAAAATAATTCTTGTTAGCTAACAGGGTTCTTAGCTAGGTTAAAGAAGCTAAGGATGCTGATTGGCTAAAGAACATTGTTAACTAAAGAACAATCTTGGCTAAGACTTCGGATGTTTACCTGTATGATGAGCCTCAAAAATCCGTATTTTTTGCAAAAAATGCTTATTCATCCCACGCAAGGGGGTGGGGGGTGCAGGCGGACTGTTGGCTGCAACAAAATCAGAAGGAAAGGAGGACGGAAGAGCTTATTTCTAGCAGCAAAGTGGGTTGGAAGTGAATATTTGATGTTAAGTGTTTTTTTAATGTCTGACAGGCTCTGACATGTTAAATAAATCTGAAAACTAGTATTTGAAAAAATCCGCAAAACATTAAAAAATCTGTGAGATTGCGCTATACYTCTGTATACCTGCAAATGATGGAAAATCCATGTAAATTACAGAAAATCCATACAACTTGACATGTATGCTAAGAGCATTGTTTAGCTGTTATTTTATTGATTTAGCCATAGTGGTGTGGTATTGGTCCCACAGTGTTTATGTTACAAAAAGTAAAAACTGTTAAAAATGACTATTTTTAATATTCAAAGTAGAGTAAATGAGACAAGAGTTAAAGATCCAGAGACTAATTTGTCCATGTCTGAAACATTTATGGAAGTGAAATGTTTGTTAAGGGTCGGTGAAAAGTGCTTGTSTGAACGATAAAAGCTGTGCTGCTGCAGAAATCAGCTGAACTTAACCTGATTTGGTGCGATTAAATCTGCCACAGTGGGTCAGTTTTTGTTGTTGTAATCGGCTTAGTGTTTGCTGGCTGTCACTTGGCCTCTGTGGATTTAAAAATTTATGTGCTCTGAAGTTCTGRGGCACTAATATCACCTGTGTGGTTCTGTTTTTATCTCTCAGACATGGTTCTGGATCAGCACGAGGCTTCAGGCACTGTCGACGAGGACGCCAGGAAGAGGATCCGCGAGGCTTTGTTAAAACAGCACCACCATCAAAACCAGAAGAAACTGGCCAATCGTATCCCCATCGTACGCTCCTTCGCTGATATTGGCAAGAAGCAGTCTGAGCCTCATTCCATGGACAAGAATGGTGAAAAATCACACAAACTCAACACAAATCAGTGTTTGCTTCATGTACAAAGAGTTTATTTATACCTGATCTGTTCCAGCAGTTTCCAGTTCATTGTAGACTTGAGCCTTGCTGATTCCTAACCATTATCTCCTCGCTGAGTTCCTTTGACTTTCCCGCTGTTCTGAGTATTGATGAATCCAACATATACTGTCAACAAATCCATTATTTATACTGGTAAAAAAAACCATTCTAGCTGTAGTCAGTCATGATCACTCAGAAGAAGCAGTTAGGCTGTTGATCTTGTCAAGCTAACTGCTAGCACCAACATTTTATACCTTTGGGCCAGGGTTGTTGGAGGGAAAATCTAAAACAAATTTGTAATTTGTGAACCAAACCCTTGTTTTTAAAATCACAAAAGTTGTGCAGTGTCATTTAACAAGCATAATATTTTGTTGAACCTTGCGCAACCAAAGTGAAACAGGAAGTGGCGATAAAGGTACAGTACTTTTGTGACTCAGGATGCAGCCATCACCACATGGAAGGAGTATTATTTGCCAGTTTTCACAAGCTAAGATGCTAGGCTAACAACTGGATTAGAGCGATTAGATGAGCTGAATTTGACCAAAAAAAGTGCAACCATTGACGTTTGTCTGCACCAAACATTTAATTGGAGGTAAAACACCAACACAGGACCACCCTGTGGTGTTGATGAACAGGTACAGTAAATCTGATTGTTTTTAATGTAGTACTGCTTCCGCAAATTTCACTCCACTGAAACCGCTCCTCTACGTGTATCAAATGACAAACTAATGTCTGCTGATAGTGGCTTCTACACTGTTCTGCTCCTATTAGATCTTTCCTCTGCCTTTGACACTGTTGATCATACCATTCTACTACGCAACCTGAGAAACATTGGGATATCAGGTGCTGTATTAAACTGGTTTAATTCATACCTCTCCGACCGCTCTTTCTCAGTACTTCAAAATCAAACTTATTCTGAACCCACCCAACTCACTTTTGGCGTACCACAGGGTTCAATCCTGGGGCCCCTCCTTTTCCTTCTCTACATCCGCCCCCTAAGCCAGATCGTTGACAGTTTTCATGATGTCTCCTATCACTTCTACACTGATGACCTGCAGTTATACTACTCTTTTAATGAGTCAAGTTCCCACAAGCTGATCTCTTTTTTAGACTCTATCACAGAAGTCAACAAATGGCTCTCTGACAACTGCTACTCCTTAATCGTGACAAGACTGAAACTCTGATCCTGGCACCTGAAAATAAGATCCCTCAGATAAAAGAACAACTGGGCTCTCTGGGGCCGACTGTTAAAAAGAGCATACAAAATCTGGGAGTCAATTTCCTCTGACCTGGAAATAGTAATCCATGCCTTTATCTCAACCCGTCTTTACGGTAACAGCCTGTTCATCTGCTTAAATCAGAAACAATTAAACTGTCTCCAACTTGTTCAAAACTCTGCTGCTAGACTTCTAACTAGAATATCTAAATTCTCTCACATCACCCCATATTATCAGACCTCCACTGGCTACCTGTACAGTTCAGACTCAAGTTCAAAATCCTGGTTCTCACTTTTAGAGCTCTACACGGCCAAGAGCTGAACTACATCTCCGGTCTTCTCTCGCCTTATAACCCCAAATGCAACTTGCGCTCACAAGACCAGAATCTTCTCTTGGTCCCCCGTACTCGCTTCAAGACCCGTGYTGACTGTGCCTTTTCCTCAATGGCTCCCAGACTGTGGAACGCCCTTCCGCCCTATCTAAGATCTGTTGAAAACACTGACTCCTTTAAAAAACAAATAAAAACACCTTTTCACTCAAGCATTCAATTAAACATATTCAACACCTCACAACTTGAGTTTATAAGCCCTACGTTATTACGGTTTAGTATCCATCCCCTCCACCTATAAAGGGCTCGACACACGGGCAGCGACAAACTACAGCGATTAACGGCTGTCATCGCAGCCAGGGTGAAACCCGACACACGGGACACGATAGCGATCGCAGCGTCGCGAATCGCGCTCTCAGGTTGACAAAATTTGATTGGTTCTTGACTCTGAAGGCGGACGTGTAAACTAAACAAATCTTGCGATGCTAATGATATTGAAAAACAAACACACATCAAGATACAGTTTTATGAGGAAAAACTTARCATAAACTTCACCCTGGTGCCAATAAATTCCCACAAAGCTTTTTAGTAATCACTTGGTGAAAGTGTTAGCTAACTGCAGTGTGTAGCATACTCTCCTCTCATTGGTCAGCCAATGAAACCCTCGCTGATTGGTTGTACGCTAAGCGACAGCAACAAAAGTTGAACATTTTTCAACTTTCATATGTCACGTCGCAAGCTCGCGTGTGCACGTCTACGTGTACGAGCGCGAAATTTCACATGCACTATTTTCACCGGTCGCTTAGCTGGAGGAGGGCAAGTGATTGTTGCCTCACCGCACAGGCTCCATAGGAAATGAATGGGGAGCGAGCAACGTCGCCTCCCGTGTGTCGAGCCTTTAAGGGGGAGAGATAAATTGAACTTTTTTTTGTTTTGTTTTAAATATTGAATGTATTGAATGTATACTTTGTACGGTTAATGTAACATTTTTGCTTGTTCTTTCTGATAATGGATGTACAGCACCTTGTCAAATCCTTTTCTGTGAAAGGTGCTATATAAATAAACTTTCACTTACTTTCTGACTGACTGACTGACTGACTGACTGACTGACTGACTGACTGGCTGGCTTACCTACTGACTTACCTACTGACTTACTTACTTAATTACTGACTGACTTACTGACTTACTGACTGACTTACCTACTGACTTACTTACTTAATTACTGACTGACTGACTGACTTACTGACTGACTGACTTACTTACTGACTTACTGACTGACTGACTGACTGACTGACTTGATGACTTACTTACTTACTGACTGACTGACTGACTGACTTGATGGCTTACTGACTGACTTACTGACTGACTGACTGACGATGACTTGCTGACTGACTGACTGACTTACTGACTGACTGACTGACTTGATGACTTGCTGACTGACTTACTGACTTACTGACTGACTGACTGACTGACTTACTGACTGACTGACTGACTTGATGACTTACTTACTTACTGACTGACTGACTGACTGACTTGATGGCTTACTGACTGACTTACTGACTGACTGACTGACGATGACTTGCTGACTGACTGACTGACTTACTGACTGACTGACTGACTTGATGACTTGCTGACTGACTTACTGACTTACTGACTGACTGACTGACTGACTTACTGACTGACTGACTGACTTGATGACTTACTTACTTACTTACTGACTGACTGACTGACTGACTTGATGACTTGCTGACTGACTGACTGACTGACTTGCTGACTGACTGACTGACTGACTTACTGACTTACTGACTGACTGACTGACTGACTGACTGATGACTTGCTGACTGACTGACTGACTGACTTACTTACTTACTGACTGACTGACTGACTTACTGACTGACTGACTGACTTACTTACTTACTGACTGACTGACTGACTGACTTACTTACTTACTGACTGACTTACTTACTCACTTACTGACTTACTTACTTACTGACTG